GGTGGGCATAGTGTACATCTGTGCCGAATATGGGCTGGAAGCCCCGAGGTCAAAGTGGGGAACACCCCCAAAGGTGGTGGAGAATGACCGAGCCAAGATCCTGTGGGACTTCCAGATCCAGACAGACAAGATGATAATGGCGAACCAACCGGACATTGTGGTGGTGGATAAAGAACAGAGGAAAGCCGTTGTGGTGGATGTAGCAATACCAAGTGACCACAACATCAGGAAAAAGGAGCATGAGAAACTGGAGAAATACCAGGGCCTCAGAGAGGAACTGGAAAAGACCTGGAAGGTGAAGACCACAGTGGTGCCTGTGGTCATCGGGGCCCTCGGGGCAGTCACCCCCAAACTGGAGCAGTGGCTACAACAGATATCAGGAACAACATCAGACATCTCAGTCCAGAAATGTGCAGTTCTAGGCACAGCCAAGATACTGGAGGCCTCTGGTAGAGGACCCGAGCTCAGAGGATGAGAGAGAGAGAGAGAGAGAATGTGTTTTTTTTTTCTATAAATATATGTGTGTGTGTTTCAGGATTCGTGGGCCTCTTCAACCTGCTGCTGCTCTGGCCCGGTTTCCTGCTGCTCCATTTCTCCGGCTTCGAGGCCTTTGAGCTCCCCAGCCAGCTGGTCTGGACCTACATCCTGATCAACGGCCTGATCGGAACCGTCCTGTCTGAGTTCCTGTGGCTCTGGTGAGAGGTCAGAGGTCAGAGTGCGTTCGGATCAGGTCAGGATGAGTGACGTGTTTGCCTCTGCAGGGGCTGCTTCCTGACATCGTCTCTGATTGGGACTCTGGCTCTCAGCCTCACCATCCCGCTCTCCATCCTGGCAGATATCTGCCTGCAGAAGGTCAGCCCCTGAATCCTGACCTCTGACCCCTGATTCCTCTCCATGCTCCGGTCTAACTTTGGTTCCTCTGCAGGTCCGGTTCTCCTGGCTGTTCTTTGCTGGAGCCGTTCCCGTCTTCCTCTCCTTCTTCATTGCTGCGCTGCTCTGCCACTACAACAACTGGGACCCGGTGTTGCTGGCGCTGCGCCGCCTCTACACATTCATGTTCAGGAAGCACCGAGCGCAGAGGTACGGCAGCCCCAAACGGTCAAAAATATGATCAGGAAGCGCTGACCGCAAAGGTACGGCAGCCCCAAATGGTCAAAAATATGATCAGGAAGCAATGAGCGCAGAGGTATGGCAGCCCCAAACGGTCAAAAATATGATCAGGAAGCGCTGACCGCAAAGGTACGGCAGCCCCAAACGGTCAAAAATATGATCAGGAAGCACCAAGCGCAGAGGTACGGCGGCCCCAAATGGTCAAAAATATGATCTGGAAGCAATGAGTGCAGGGGTATGGCAGCCCCAAACGGTCAAAAATATGATCAGGAAGCGCTGAGCGCAGAGGTACGGCAACTGCTCAAACTCAAAATATTTCAATCTGCTGATAATTTCTCTGGAAAAGCTGAAAAAACACAAAATTAGACGATGCATTGAGAAGATTCTGAACTCAGAATGCGTCATGAAGGGACTAACTCCTCCTGACCAGCCAGGGGCGCCAGTACAGAGGAACAACTCCCATTGAAGCAGCAGTACTGTTTAAAATGTACTTTTTTGATCTTCCAATCATGTTGTAGAAATCCACGGCCAGCGTTCAGCTGTGCAAACACCTTCAAGGCGCAACTCATGCATTTTTATAAAACCTACAGAACGCCAGCGCAGACGTAAAGAAACTGAGAAAATAAAAAGTTAACAGTTGAAATATCAGCGAACCGGAGAGCAGTAGGAGAAGAAAGTCAGACGAGTTCAGATGTGATCTGATGAAGAACCTCTGCAGGTTCTGGTCGGTTCCGGGTTCTGGTCACATCAGCTCTTTAACTTTTTTTAGGAGTGGCTTCCTGGTTGAGTAGCAGACGCTTTGATGACGTTCTGACATCATCACTGTGATAACGGAAGCTGATTGGCTCAGACCTTCATCCTGCTGTCTGAGCAGTCATAGTTCAACGTTTTCTCTCCTCAATTTTAGACGCCGTTGCCATGGTAACTGTGACACAGAAAGCGCTGAAGCTGCTAATGGCTGGAGAGTCGGCCTCCAGTGTTGGAGAAATTAACAAGTTATTTCAAAGTTAATAAAAACGCATTAAAGGACCTGCAGGCTTTTAGGTGTAAAAAACCCAAATATGGAGCGAAATCAGTGATTAATATATTTGTGAGGATCATAAGGCTGTTAGCCATGATGATGATGATGAGCCTCTTCCTCCTCAGACTGTCAGACGAACAGACTGAAAGCCTTATTCCTCTGCACTCGGTTGATGAGTGATCGTCCTTCTGACGGTGAGATTCTGATTTCAAAACTTCACCTTTATTAACCATCATCAGTTAATATTTCCATTTCAGGATGAATAAGGTGACATGTTGAGTTAGAGAGTTAAACGTTCCTGACGAACGGATCTATGACGAGTTTTTCTTCTCTTGCAGCCTTGGAGCCGCTGAGCCAACAGGCTGGAAGCTTCCTGGGCGTTGAACCTGTGCCTGTCATCCATCCAGCCTGATCTTTCATTTTGGTTCTTTGCGTCAGTTCTGGTTTCAGAAGCGGTTCCGGGTCGGATCGTCGTTCTGCTGAGTCAGCTCTACTTCCTGCTGCTCTTTTCAGAAATCAGTTTAAAATCAAACATCCGGTTAAATTCAACTTTATTTGCTTCGTTGAGGCGAATGAAACCAGAACAGCTGATCTGGACCGGAGAACAAACTGAAGCTCAGAACCTCTAAGGCAGTGTTTTTCAACCACTGTTCCGCGGCACACTAGTGTGC